AGGCGTGTGCTAACGAGAACATGTTCAGACTCGTGGGCAGTGGTTCTTGGACCTCCGATTTTCGGTCTGAGTCGCTGGAGAAGAGAATGGGTGGAGCCTTCAACACCCGTTGCCGTTAACCGTCAGGCGTGGAGAGGTACCGTCCGTGATATTATTGAGGCCGGCCAGATAAGTCATTATCACAGCCGTACCAAGTACAAGTACGATCCCTATTTGGTCAGACAATCCACCACCAGAGCCTCGTTTCTTTGGAATCTTCATTTGTATCCGCTGAGAATAATGGTAGCAAGGACCTTTGATGCAATGTTGAAAATGGTTCGACCGCGTTAGTTCCCAAACCTCGTTTTACTTCTATTCCCGATGACGAATGCACGACAAACCCTGCCATCGAGGTGCAATGAGACAAAAAAAATCGCAATTGTGAACGAGATACGATCGGTGAAATAAAGCTCTTGATCCAGCCATTGTATCCTTCGCCAAAACTTCCTAGAACTCCAATCTTCGCTTCAATCGATAAATAGACGCAGTTCTCCAGGTTTCCGTCGTCGGAATTATGGCTCTCCGGAAAAGCTGCGAAACAAGAGTACGCCTGGGGCACAACTCCAACGAGACACTATGAAAATCGTTAGAAAACCATTTACGGCTCGCATGCGGAGGACCACATCGACATAAATAGTTAAAGCAAATTAAAGGTAACGGGAACGTACTCAGTGTGGTCGCGAATCTTCGTGAGAATCATGTGAAGCACTGGTCCGATAGTTATGTCGAGGTTTGTCATCCAGTCTCTGCAAAGAATGCCAAACAAGACATTAGAGTGAATTATCGCGTGAGAAAATGAACAGTAAGTTATTACAAGTGAATTTTCTCAAATTGTGGAAAAGTAGTGTTCCTTTTGACCACAATCAGCACCAGCCTCGTAGATGCCGTGTAAAGTGAGGATATTGTGAAAACAATGTAATAAAGGTGAATGGATGCGTTTCGCTATTAACGCGCTCGTCAGCATGCCGGAAACTTCGTCACACAGGTTTTACGGAGCAGACCCACAACTCGAAACTTTGACGGTGGAATGTGATAGGTGCATCCCTCTTCGGGGCAATAATGAAGGGTTTGGTAGATACAGCACCCAGTAAGGCCCGATGGCGTTTGCTGTGTTATATAACGAACAGTACGAAGAGACAAGGAAAGTATCCTGACATCAACGAATTGACGAACGGTCCATTATTTGGCTCCCACGAAACAGTAAGCTTTGTTTGTGCAAGGCGAGTGCGTTTCAAGTATTTATTGAAGGAAAGAGAGATCAGGATTACGGCCGCGACTAATTTGTGAACAAGAAGGCATGCTGAGGATAACTGTCGCGACTGCGCCGGAAATTCGGAGACCCAATGCTTGACCGACCAATTGGTCCGGACAACATGAACCCCGGTAAGACGAGGACTGCTCGTAGGCGAAGCTGCTGGGGCGCTCACGATTGGAACGACCTGCGGCGAAGAATGTAAAGTAAGCAGGCTCTTGGACTCTAAAAATATACAGTTTCTGGTCTTACAAAAGTAACACCTTCAATCGTGGTTGGAGGCAGAACCAGCAAGTCAATTAGCTACTCAAAATTATGAGCCCTAGAGACCCGAGGACAGTCATTTCAACAGCTGGTCACCTCTTCTAAGAGTAACTCGATCCTCACAGGACGGAGAGTCGAACTTAATCAACCGTTCAGCCTCTACGACATTTTTAATCAAATAAGAGCCGCGCCAACTACTTTTTGTTTCCAGAAAAAAATCTGCTGCATGCTACGCGGACCCGGTTGCATTTGGCACACGTAGACTGGTTGTCTAGCTGTCAGTCACTGCCTCCGATCCCGCTTACGGGACCCTGTCTTGACACCGGGCCCAGGTACTTACCTGCCCCTGCTATGGCTGCGATCATGACTGATTCAGTCGACCTCCACTATGTCCCGGATGATATTGCTCTACGCGTGGCGATCCGTGGCAGCAGGCCTGAACAGTCCAATCCATTCTCTTCGCCAACGCCGGAGACCGAGTACCGAGGTCCATGTCCTGATGAACTGAGTCGAACCAGGTTTTGAGCTGATACCCTTTCCTACGTCTCCAAACGAGTAACAGTGTCCGATGGAGGGTAGTAAAACTGAGCTCGTGCGGTTGACGACGAAGAACGTGTCCAAACAATCTCAGCAGGCATTCCTAGGTGGCCTGGGATATCCTCGCGATGCTGTCACAGCGAGTGCGGACAGGTTCCCATGAGATGAAGTTGGCGTACTTCTCTCGAGGGAACCGGGCCCAGGTATGTGCGGTAAATGCAGCGTAATCATGTCATCAAAAATAGGCTATTTCAGGAGCACGTCAGCTCTCTTTGCCTGGCAAATAGTGGGAACGACAGTGGAAATCGTCATTCGTGACGGTCGAGTTGACCCCAACGACAGTCATCCCACTAGTTGGTCGCGACGTTAGGGCATCGATGGCTGGAAAGTGCGTCCTATTGTTTCCGGGAGGAAAGGCCGAGCAGGTCCAATCAGACCTTCCCATCAGACGGACTCAAGACAACTGGAGAGATCGGCGCCGTGGCATAAAGTTCTTGCTTTCGCCCGTCAAGTAAGTATTTCGTTTTTGATAGAATATTAGACTACAAACAAGTATCTACTCAGTACAAGCTTAAAAGTAGATCAACTCACCGCTGCTTTCCTAGCAATTCACAGAGCAGTTCCGTAGCCGAGAGAATGTCAATCTCCTCCTCCAGGGGTTTTAGTGCCTCTGGATATGCGTACTTGTTGTGCTAAAGGGCACATAGTAAAACATTATGCATTCATCCTCGCTTTTAAAGGCATTATAAGTAATATGTTGCTTAGGGTGCATAAAAGTAGTGAAGGGCGTTGAAGACAGGAGAAAAAAAATGAAAAATCTGTATAAATAAATGCCGATGAATTTGTCCGATGTTACCAACCGATTCACCCAGTAAAACGTTAACATCGGCGTGTGTTGAAGGGAATTATTGAGAAATAATTGTGGGAGCGAGACTTCTTGATTGACAGCTTTGTCTTGAAAGCAAGCAAGCCACTTCCGTCCCATGCGCACGCTACACGCCGCTCAAAAAACCAAATCCTGGGGCAGTTTTTTTTGTAATATGCTCTTGCGATCACTCTATGTGTTTACGTCAAAGCTATAAGAACGATAAAGTCCCCCCCCCGCTTCGGGTGGTTTCGGTACTTGTATAGTTTCCGTAAGGGAGTCAGTCCGCCACTGTTTCAACGCAAACTGTATTTAGAAAAACGGAAGGATGGTGGGGGATAAACTAGGAAGGTCGCATGACGACGTTGAATTAGTATAAAATATTGATTCCATGCACCTTGGGACTGGTTGCGCGTGCTTCATTGGAAATTGTCGTGTGGATGTTTTTACCGGAGTTCAACTTCAAGGTCTCACAAAAGAGTGATGCTTTGATACTGTCTGTACCCACACCAAAACACAAAGGTCAAAGAGGATTGTCGTACAAGTTGCACAGCTGAAACTTTGCTTGATAGATGACGAAGGGACTGACAACTTAACGATTGCCAACTGCGAAAAAAAATCCTTATTTCTGTCTCAGGTGTCTGTGTCTGTATTCATTCAGACTTAAAACGTCGAGTTAAAAGGTTACCTACGCAAAAATACTATGCCTGGTCTTTACATTCTGATAAAACATATTTCCAAAAACTGGATAGTTTACGGCGCGAGAGGTTTAGCTACATTACGTCAATCCAGTGCCAAGGACTCGGTGTGCACTGAGGTTACAAAAACAATTAAACTGATTTGTTGGTTAGAAACTAATTGCTGGACCATGTGCGTTGAACTGCCACCTCACCCGACACCAGGCACAAAGACGAAAATCAATAATATAGGTAAGTGAATGAATGAAAACATTCGTGTCCCAGGCATTTGCATGGATAATAAACAAACTGATCCGGTGCCCGACAATCTTTCTTCCTTATCCACATAAGTATGTCGAGTAAAAAGAGCATCCGAAGAAAACATGTGCCTCGACAAAATAGTTATATGCTTTCAGATATTGAATCCTTGAAAATTCTGCGAGGGACATATTCAATTTTCGTAACTCCTCTAAATACAGCGATGTGATGGGACCGACTTAAACACAGACAGTACGCTATATGACATAGAAATATAGTAAAAAAATCCCGTAGATGTAGGACGGCACATTAGGTCAAGAACGGAACTAAAATAAAAAACTGTTTTTCTGGAATGTTCTTATTTAAAGGCCGTTTTTGTTATAAAATAAGTGCAGCTCCAGCCCAGGAACTTCTAGCAACAGCAGCTAGGGCTACAGTGACCCGTTTTTTTAGACGTTATTGTAGACGGTTGATCGATCGTGCGCCGTTACGCGTGAATATAAGACCGCCTTTATCGTGCATTAGTACTGTGACATTAACCAACAATGCCGCTACGTTTGGATGCGTTTAGGAACTGTACTTAATACCCCAGAAATGCTGATACTTACTGTGGCACATAGCATAAACAGGGTTCAGTCACCGTGACACAACCCGAGCTAACACGAGCCAACAACAAGGGAGGAGCCGGTGGGCCTACCAGAGAATTTGAGTTCCTCCTGCCTTGCTTGGCAGAGAAGCAGAACTTGCGGCTTAGATCAGCATATAAACGTCAGATAGGCGAACAATAAACAAATCAAGCACTATGATTGGCTTCCACCTTTATAAAACTGTGTCCTACATTTACGGATCTCGAGTCCATTGGGCTTGCCGTTTAATGTCGCTGCTAGCTGAAATAGCTGGGTTGTATAGAACGAAAACGTATTCTCAATAATGCCTGTATACTAGAGATGTGATACCTTCAGTCTATATGGAGCAATAATGTCCCT